CTACTCTCTCTCTCTCTTCTCTCTCTCTCTCTCTCTCTCTTTTTCTCTCTCTCTCTCTCTCTCTCTCTCTCTCTCTCTCTCTCTCTCTCTCTCTCTCTCTCTCTCTTCTCGCTCTCTCTCTCTCTTCTCTCTCTCTCTCTCTCTCTCTCTCTCTCTCTCTCTCTCTCTCTCTCTCTCTCCTCTCTCTCTCTCTCTCTCTCTCTCTCTCTCTCTCTCTCTCTCTCTCTCTCTCTCTCTCTCTCTCTCTCTCTCTCTCTCTCTCTCTCTCTCTCTCTCTCTCTCTCTCTCTCTCTCTCTCTCTCTCTCTCTCTCTCTCTCTCTCTCTCTCTCTCTCTAATAATAACTAAATTCAAGCAGCACGCGCCAGTCACACGAAAATACAAGTACCTGAGCTTATCCCAGTTGAAGTGTTCCCACATTCGTCTGGTCGCGAGCATGAGCCATATAGGAGATATCAGGAGGGCCACCACGGGATGTTCCGAGGATCTTACACAAGGCCATCAGATATCCTAACCGCAGCGGCGTGCCTTGGGCCGCGGCGAGTGCAGACTCCAGGGCACTACGGCGGCCCCACACGACGACGTCTCGGCGTGCCCCAGCCTGGTCCGCTCCAGCGGCGACAGTCAGGACCGGGCTCGAGTCGGCGCGGCCCCCAGCCGCCCGCCGCCGACCCGCGATCGCCGACGCTGATAGGACGGGGGCGCCGGCCTGGCCGCGGTCGGCCAGTTTTTCGCGACCGGCCGCGTGCCGAGCGCTCCTGGGGCGGCCGGCCGCGCCACGCGCCGCGGCCGACACGGGCGGGGCCGGCCGGCCGCCCCGTCGCCCAGACCGCGAACACGGACACGGCCAGCTGTCACTGAGCCGTGTTGCTCCAAACCAGGGATCCGAAATTCGTTCAGTGGGGTGTCAGGATGTTAACATGAAATCATGCTACCAGACTTCCGGCCCCTCGGCCGCCTCCAGCACACACGTTTCGTTCACTTAAGGTTTAGAGCATAGTATTCGTTCATTTATATACAACACCCGATTGAACTTTGATCGTGGCGTATAGATACTGGGCTGGCCGCCGTCCGGCTCGATGCTGATTGGACACCTTTGAGCGAGGGTGAGCCCCGACCCGGACACCATTGAGCGAGGGGAGCAACAGGCAATGGGCCCTGACCCGGATACCTTTGAGCGAGGGGAGCAACAGGCAATGGGCCCTGACCCGGATACCTTTGAGCGAGGGGAGCAACAGGCGGTGAGCCCCGACCCGGACACCATGGAGCGAGGGGAGCAACAGGCAATGGGCCCTGACCCGGATACCTTTGAGCGAGGGGGGCAACAGGCAATGGGCCCTGACCCGGATACCTTTGAGCGAGGGGAGCAACAGGCGGTGAGCCCAACCCGGACACCATTGAGCGAGGGGAGCAACAGGCAATGGGCCCTGACCCGGATACCTTTGTACGAGGGGAGCAACAGGCAATGGTCCCTGACCCGGACACCATAGAGTGAGGGGAGCAACAGGCGGTGAGCCCCGACCCGGACACCATTGAGCGAGGGGAGCAACAGGCGGTGAGCCCGACCCGGACACCATTGAGCGAAGGGAGCAACAGGCGTTGAGCCCGACCCGGGCACCATTGAGCGAGGGGAGCAACAGGCAATGGGCCCTGACCCGGATACCTTTGAGCGAGAGGAGCAACAGGCGGTGAGCCCCGACCCGGATACCTTTGAGCGAGAGGAGCAACAGGCGGTGAGCCCCGACCCGGGCACCATTGAGCGAGGGGAGCAACAGGCAGTGAGCCCCGACCCGGACACCATTGAGCGAGGGTTAAACAAAGGGTTAAACAAAAAAAGTTAAACAAAAATTGCTATTGATAACCAAGGCACGTTAATCCAGAAAATTTTCCGAATCTGTGCGGACACTAACACTAAAAAAAATCATCCGAGCTTCCGCGTGACAACACCCAATACACGGCTCAACGCTAAGAGCTGTGCAAACAAAACCCTGTAAGCCGGGAGGTTACGATGACCCATTCCGAGCATTAGATTAGAAAATTACTTACCATGCCATCAGGCACCACGACCGTTACCGAAGCCTCGCGAACCCAACGGGAACTCAGGATGCCACGTCCTAGCACCCAATGTACGATACTACGAAGGGCCTTCCGAGACACAGACGACTAATCCGAAAGTTTTAATGGTCTGCACCAAGTATCAGAACAAAAATAGATCTGCGAGCGGGCACCTGTATTCATTGCAACGAATATCGAACCATTTATAAATGTGCGTAACCAAAACAATGCTGCCCAAACCCACCTCCACAATGACTGTGTGCTTAGCCTAGGACGAATGTGCTGCGGTTCTGAGATCTTGAGATCCGCGTTGTCTTTAGCTGCCCCCGAGACTTTGATATTTAAAGTTGGTAACTGCTGCGCTATGCTTCATTGCTCCGTGTCGGTCTACCCTGCATTCTTCTTGTATTACGGATACTGTGCTTTGCTTCTTCCATGTTCAATATCCGTTGGCAAAGGTCACAAGGATACGTTTTAAACTCGCTGTTTTGCGTGCTTCCTCCTTCAGCTCGTGAAAGAGAATGTTCTGCATGTGAAGATTTTGACCAAAGCATCAGATAAGATGAAATAGGCTCACTTGTAACCCTTGGTATGTTTTAAAGTGCAAAAGACTCTTCTAGAAAACAAATCTCAGGTTTTTGTGAAGACGCTCCTCGATACGTCCTCGCTTGTTACGTCATGCAACGCTTGTATGACAGCGGAGTCGCTGTCAAATGGCCGTGGCAGAATGGACACTGTAGCAGATTAGCTTGCAGACTTGAAGTACTTCAACCTGCCGAGAGGTGACGCGCGTGTTGGCACTAGGTTGCGAAGTCCCAATATCGTTATGTGCACGCGTTTTTACCACTTCTTGCGGCGTTTTGCATATTCGTTCATGAATTCATATCATTCACTCGATTAATTAGCCCGGTTATGGTGTTACTCTGAAGTTCTTTTACTACCAGTCTTGGTTCTCTCAGAGCTCGTGTCCACTCTCCAAATTCCTGTACTATATGGCATAAAACGTGACATAAGATGTTCGAAACTCGCACAGAACGCAGCAACATGGTCGAAGCCTGACTGATGAGCTTTGATAACGACGGGACCCGAGCGATCGAGGATGCCACGGCGGGCACAACAGGCTCCCGTCAACAGTGTGGGGTCATTAGAGCTAGCGAGAACAGTCCAAGACGAACGTGGAGGGCCCCTGAACGATCGGGAGTGCCCCAGCAGGCTAATATGCAGGACTCTGGCCAGAGCACAGGGCCCTCTGAGCAAAGGGAGGTTACCCAAGATCAGTGTACGTGAATGAATGCCCCTGTGCGATCAAGAGCGCCCGAACGGGTTAACAGAAGGGCCCCCGACAAGAGTAACGGGTCTTTTCGCAAATGAGACTAAACGTCAAGAGCTGTAGATCAAGATCAGTGCAGAACGCCGTGTAGAGCAGTGTATAGAACATCGTGTAGATCAGGGTAGAACTACCGCTGAACATCAGTCCCCCAGCGCATGAACATATGTCTCCCGCCAACAGTGGAAGACAAGGCCCTTGCGCGACCGGGAGTATCCCGGCGGATTGCCATGGCGGACCCCGGCAGTAACGTAAAAAGCCTTTCGCACTAATGGGAAGAATCCGTGGAGGGCCCCTGACCGATTAAAAGCGCCCCGGTATGCTAGCAGATAGGGCCCCAAAAGCAGCTTCGGGCCCTCCGAAAAAATTCAGAGATCGAGCGCAAGGAGCTTTTTAACGACCCCTCAGCGATTGCATTGCCCGGCAAGCGGATGTATAGGGCCTTGGCAACAGCGTGACGGGGCTCAACATCTCCCCAATCACCACCCTCTCGATCAGCGAAGACTTACGCTTGCCTGCTCACGAGCCCTTCAATACTACATGCGACTGTTCTTGGTCACCTGGAGGCTCAAAGAAGTTCAGTTTGCTGTTTTGTGTTACAAAACTGCGTCCGTTTGGCCGGTTATGGGCCCCTTCGAAGTCGGTATGTCCCTTCGGGGCTCAGGGGGACATGGCCCAATGGACTTCCCTCTGGATCGGCCTCTGACCCGAGCAGCGTAACACATTGGGCCCCCGACAACAGCGTATGACCTTCCAAGCAATTTAGAAGTATCCAAGACGCAATATAGAGATGGTTGTGAGGTTCGGGGAATGTTCGTGGTGTCTGGTGATTGTGGCAATTTTTTAAAAATCAGATACTTGATCATCGTGATTTTCTGACCTGCCTGCGTTTGGTGCAGCGGGCCGTGTATGGCATATTATACCGTGGGAGCTCGGAGGATTTCTTTCTCTTGACATACTTCAGTGGTACTGTCTGCACAGATTCGAAATGTTTCTGAATCCGTGTGTCTTAGTTTTCACGTGTTTTTTTGCTTAACCATGCTCAGTATCTCAGCCTTTTTCACTCGTCATACGCACGTTTTAAAGCGTGGTGTACTGCCAATATAACCAGCGTTTGCTCCACGCTTAGCCAGCACCTCACGCCTGCTGGTGTACCGAGCGTCGATAACTCTGCATAAACACTCCGAACTCATAACGCCGAAAAAAGATCGCAGGCTTCTCTTGCTTCTGTGAGGTGCAGATGAAGCCAGGCCGCCGACGACTGGGAGTAGAGGCGAAATGGAGGCCGAAAGACACACGGTCTTCGATCAGCAACGCCGTCAGTCACGGTGCTGGTGCTTATCGGGATCCACTGCGAAATCCCGCGGCATCCAGAGCCGTTGGCTGTGAGGCCACACGGCGCTAGGCGATAACTATGGAGTAACAGCGCGCAACGGGCGTATAAATTTCACGTATACGCTAAATTTTGCATCCGCCACACGATGATGGTATCGGTTTTGGCGCTTCGCCTACATTGGTCACATGGCGTCCATCGTTAGCCATAAGGGCAGGTTACTGTTTCATAAACAAGTTCGCATCAAACTGCTATTGAATGCCGTTTTGGAATGTAGAATTCGACCAAATCTTTTGCCATTGTATTGTCCAGCAAGGTAGACGCGGCAAGTAATATTCTGCACACACAGATGCGCGATCACAGATAATTTCCCACACACATCTAAAACATCGACGACTGACTGAATTCCAACCTAGGCACCGCCCAGAACACGCCAGACCAGCAATACAATCACGACAGAGCTGAAGGGGTAACGGCAGCGGACTACACATGCCGCAAAAATCAGAGTGCGCAGAAGGCGCACATACTAATCAACATCGCAGGCAACAGGGCACACAGGGCGCGACCAATGTAAGCAAACCACGTGGACCAGCAGCCAAAAAGCGGCGCCAATCTCGGAAGATGGCAGCACCAGCGGCGCGACACCCTGACCCGGCACGCAGCCAGAATTCAGTTCGACGCACCACGGACCCTTGCATCACGCACTGTCCGCAGGAGGGCGCAGTAAGCACTCCTACCCCGTGGCCACTTTACTTCGGATGACACTTGGCAACGAGTCCAAGCAAGTTTAAGCCTCATGGTGACTCCTCCCGGTAGTTTAGCTAACAAGCATAACACCATCGAATAGCGGCCAGTGGGGTACGCCAACGTGCGCCTTCCGACCGTGCCGCCTGCGGCGATTGGGCCGAAGTAGCCGCCGGCGGGCTCCCGTCGGCAGCCGGCTCAGTACACGAACAGCTCGGGGAACTGTATCTGCTGCAGCGACGGCGGCGTGTAGACGGTCGTGGCACGGCCGACGCCCTCGGCCGCGCCGCCCAGCTGCGAGAAGATCTCGTCCAGCTTGTCCCGAAGCGTGTCCACCTGAAGATCGAGGGGATCGACTCAAGATGGCGACGCAACTCAAGATGGCGATGCAGCGACTCGGCACTTGAGCTGAGGCTCCGATGGACAGCGGCTCCGTTGCAAATGGCTTAAAATGTAAGGCAATATTTTCTAAACTTCAAGTTTATTTGGTGTCATGAATTGAAACGACCAAACAAAACCCGCCGATTTTTAAGCTGACACTATCAATGTTCTAGAGACCCGTTCCATTGGTGTTCCAGATACCGCCGAACGTCATTTATTAGCGGTAAGCAAGACATCATGGGCGTGACCATGGGCGGATCAAGGATTTCGTCAAGGGGGGAGGCACGGGGCATTGAGGGCCCCCTCCCAAAAATATCCTTGCATTTCGGTCATTACATTTTCAGGCAAGTTGTGTGTAATATATGTATCTATATATACATATACGAATGTACATATCTACTTCTTCATTCATTTAATAAACACGGAAACCTGTCTTACCGTGCACGGCCCTATACAGCAAAGGCGTGCTGCGCATGCATACACGTAGAGTTAGCTCATTTTCTACAGATTATTTTAAATGCTGTGATTTTGAGGCCAAGTGCTTCGGAATAACAGGCAAAATAAACTTGAGTTGGCAGCTAACAACCATCAAAACCACGCAACGACTTGATTCCTAGCTCATGTATTTACGGCTAGCCGGCTGAGCGATGTAATCAGCTGATGGCTGATGACTAGTGCATAATTTTTCCCTTTGCTATTGAGGAGTACAACATATCGAAGCATTCAAATATGCTGCTAAGAACATGATGCACTAGTATAATAAGTGTCACACACTCAACAGCCGATGGAAATGACACACACGACGTCCGCGGCGTGCCAAATAACGTTCGACAATCGCGGGTAAAAATTCATCAGCGCATATTCGACTGCTGCTCTAAGGCGCAGGCACCAAGGGTAAAAGGGACGGAACCTGAGCGATCATGGGTGCCGCCGGAGGCAAAACAAAGGCAAAAAGGCCAAAAAGGCAAACAGGCTCATGTCAACAAGTATAAAGTCCTCAGAGCAAGCAAAAGAAATGCAAAACCAACGTGGGGGCCCTTAAACGACCGGTAGTCCCCCGGATGTCCGACGTATAAGGCCCCGGCCAGAGCACAGGACGCTCTGAGCCAAGGGAATTATCCAAGGCCACGAATTAATAACCCTGTGCGATCAAGAAAGCACGGGCAGCTTAACAGAAAAACTTCGATAGGAGTGGAGGGTCCTCCGCAAATGAGATCAAAGGGAAAGAGCCCTTGATTAAAGGAGAGGGTTCTTGAGCATCGAGTGTCTCGATGGCTTACCTTATAAGTGCCTCAGCAACAGCACAAAGCCCTCCAAGCAAGTGGAAAGAACCCGATACTAATATGAATGGCCCCTGAGCAATATGAATGTACCCTGGCATGTGGGGTCCCGGAAAAAACGCATAGAGCATTTCGGGCGAATGGGAAGAATCCGTGGAGGAAAACTGATCTGTCAACAGTGCTCAGGCATAGAGGCAGATAGCATCCCAACAGCACATTGAGCCCTCCGAGAAAATGCAGAGATCAAGAACAACGTGGAAAGCTCCTTAGCGATCAGATCGATCGGTCAAGTGGACATATAGGGCCAGGCAACCAACAGCCTAATGCCTGTAGACGGCGTAATGGGCCCCAAAATTTCCTCCAAGCAACGCTTTCTCAATCAGCGAAGAATGAACTACGTTTACCTATGAACTGTTTACTTTTGTTAACAATGTTTCTTGATCGTCTGTAGACCCAAAGACACTCAATTTGTGTTGTTCTTTTTTGTCAGAAAACTGCGTCCGTCCGGCCGGTTATGGGCCCCTTCGGAGCCTTTAGGCAACCTCGGCATGGTCCATGGGGCATGGTCCCGGTCCTTCCCCCTCCCCCCCCCCCCCCCCATCCTCTGCATCCGCCACCGGCCCGAGCAGCTGAATAGATGGGGCCCGCCAAGAACGTAAGGCCATCCATTCAAATAAGAAATACACACGACGCAATGTGTAGGGCTCTGAACGATCGAGTACGCCAGAACAGGTTAACACATAGGGCACCCGTCAAGAGCGTGAGGCCCAAAGACCCAAGGCCCCGAATGATCGAGTGTGCCCGAGTAGGGCAACAGATAAGGTTCTCAAAAGGAGCGTAGGGCCCTTCATTAAAATAGCAAGCACCCAAGACCTAATGCAGAGGCCTCCGAATAATCAAGCGCGCCCGAGCAGGCTAACAAGCAGGGCTCCAACAAGAGCGTAGGGCCCTCCATTCGAATGGGAAGCACCGAAGACCCCATGTAAATCGCTCCAGAATGATGGAATGTGCCCGAGCTGCTTATCAGAAGGGGCCCGACAAGAACGCAGGGCCCTCCATTGAAATCAGGAGTAGCCAAAACCCAGTGCGGAGGGTCTCCGAGAGATTGAGTATATCCAAGCAGATTATCGGGCAGCTCAGACAGGAGTGTAGGGCCCTAAATTCAAACGCCAAGACACAATAAACAGACCCCGAACAATCTAGTGTGACCGAACCGGTGAACAAATGGAGTCTCCAAGTGCGTGGGACCCTACATTCATATAGGAAGTACCCAAGGCACTATGTGGAAGGCCCCTGGATATTCAATTGTGCCCGAGCAGGTTAACAGATGAAGCCCCGGCTAGAGCGTAGAGCCCTCCGTTCAAATATGGAATACCCACGACACGATGTAAAGGGCCCCGAAAAATCGAGTGCGCCAGAGCAGGTTGACAGATAGGGCCCTCGAAAAGGGCAGTGGCCCTTCATTCAAAAAAGAAGTACCCAAAAACCAGATGTGGAGGTCCCCCACGATCGAATGGGCCCGAACATCTTATCAGAAGGGGACCCGACAGGAGCGTAATGCCCTCCATTCAAATAAGAAGTACCCAAAATCCGGTACGGAGGGCCCCCGAAGGATAGAGTGTACCCGAACGGGTTATCAGATGACCCGGATGGGAGCAGAGGGCCCTAAATTCAAACACCAAGAACCAATGTGCAGGGCCCCCGGGCAATCCAGTGTAGCCAAGGAGGCGAACAGAGGAGACCCCCGACAAGTGCGTACGGCCCCATTCGAATAGCACGTGCCCGAGGCCCAACGCAGAGGGCCCCCAAACGATCCAGTGTACCCGAGCAGGTTATCAGTTAGGCCCCCGACAAGAGCGTAGCCTCCCCCCATTCACATAAGAAGTACCCCAGACCAAATGTAGAGAGCCCCGAATGATCTAGTGTGCCCGAGCAGGTTAACAGATAATGTTCCCCAAAAAGAGCGTTGGGCCCTCAATTCAGTTAGAAAGTATTCAAGACCCAACGCAAAGGACCCCCGAATGATCTAACGCGTCAGAGCAGGTTAACATGTAGGGCTTCCGTCAAGAGCGTAGGGCCCAAGTTAACATATAGGGCTTCCGTAAAGAGCGTAGGGCCCAGGTCAACATATAGGGCTCCTGTCAAGAACGCAGGGCCCTCCGAGCAAATGCAAAGAAATAAAGGGCAACGTGGAATGCTCCTTAGCGATCGAAATTATCCTGCAAGTGGGCATATAGGTCCCCCGGAAACGGCATGGGCCCCTAGGCAGTGTAATAAGGCTTAAAACTTCCAGTTCACAACTTTTACAACCATTCAATAACTTTCTTTGACTTCTCATAGACACTTCACTTTCGCTCATAACTTTTCCTGGTCGCCTGAAAGTCCATAGGTGCCCAGTTTTGTTGCTTTTTGTGTTAAAAAACTACACCTGTTCGGCCGGCCATGGGCCCCTCGGAGCCAATGGGCCCCTTCGGGGCCCTAGGGGGGGGGGGGCATGGCCCCGTGCCCACATTTGGATCCGTCCCTGCGCGTGAAAACCTCAGCCAAACATCCTTTTGGTTAAAAACACCGGTTCGCAAGAGCTTCCAGATCCATTCACCACCGTCCGTAAGTTCGATTTTAAGTAGCTGATAACCCCCAGTGATTGCTCCAAAAGATGACCGAAACTATTTCAAGCTAAAGAGTAAAGTTCCTCGACAAAGATTTAACCTCCCCGCCATAGGTGTCATCACATTTATCAAGCGAGGAGGCCAAAAGCATAAAAAGTACCTTTGAAAGTTCACCCAATACGAAATGATTACAGATATTATGCGCGTAATGCCAAGGTGATGATGCACATTTTCCAAATGTCATTTTGAGGAGATGTCAGGGGAAACTGGTGACACTTGCTTACACCTGACTAATCACGTCTGACGAAAAATTTCGAGCTTTATGTCCTGGAGAAAAGAGAAAACAGCGTTTCCAAAACAAAGAATTTCTGACCCGCACAAGCGCCTAGAAAACAAGCACCGTGAGCATCGCCACGGGTCTTAGGTCGGATGAGGACCTTGTGTTAAAAGGCCTTTGTGTTATGGCCTTCTGGACTAAACGGCTGCCTCCTCACAAAGGGACCTCTCGCGTAGTGTCGTGGTCAGGGGCGTTGGCGGGGGAGGTGCGTCCCCTCATCACTTTTTTATGATGTGTCCACGTGTAGGTGAGTAAATGTCGGCAAGTAAAAAATATCGAACAGAGACCCTTAATAAATACAGGGAGATACACAAACAAGCAAAAGGTCTCCCTATCCCCGCACAGGGGCTCCTTTTCAATTCCTGTCTCCTGAGGCATCGAGTAGCCTCCTGATTTGGAACAGGACCTTTCCGATCCACAAAAAGGACCTCCAAGTCCGGTACAGGGCCCCACTATCCCAATCAGTCTCCGTTCCTTACTTATCCTGATCCGAAACAGCCGCACTCTTACGCAAGGGAACACCCTACTGATATATAGACGGTGTCTCACAATCTTGAGCAGGGATCCTCCGAGCCAGCGAAAGGGCCTCCTTCACGCAAAATAGGGTCTCCCGATCCAGAGAACGGGCCTTATGATGTAGATAAGGGTCTTCTGAGACCATTTTTTTTTTTTACTTCCAAGCTCAGCTATCCGGGCCTCAGTGACCTGAAGTTGGTAACCTATGTGTGGCTACAAAACTTCCAGTGCGGGCAAACGAAGCGTCCAAACATGTTGCAGGGACAAACGCAAATTCTTGTCCCCGCTGCCTCCTTGCTGCGCCGTCCCTGATACGAGGAAACATGTCGGCACTCTGCACTTCTTTGGATCACAGTACAGTGCAGGTGTGATCCCAGAGCACCGCAGCCTGGCACACCACAGCACTGCAGCGGTATACCACAGCTGGGCCGGCCTTTCCAGAAGCCATGGTAAAGCCAGCATCCGCAGAAACTTTGCAGCGTTAGGAGCAGACTGCCCGCCGAAAGAGCGCTCTGTCCAGGACTGGGAGACATCACCACATTCTGTACATTTAAATAATCACATTAAGTACGTCCAATTCCTTTAAGGAAACCTTCCGTAACCAACACAGCGGCTTAAAGGGATAGGGCCCGCAGAAAGTATACTTCACCTATATACTGAAAACTGTTTTCACATCCACATCCATTTCATGTTGTCTATCTTGCTGTGCCCGGAATTATCTCTATAGCTGTACTAATTCAGTACGGTTTTGACTTTAGGTAGGGCACTACAGAAAGCGGACGCACTGTTGTGCCACTTCCATAGTGGCTACGCTTCAGTCCATACCGTTCAGCCGAGGGCAACGCGCAAAACAAGACACAATTTCGATTGTTCTCAAGTTCTGGAGGCTGAAAAGCGGGTTTTCTGGAATCAGTATTTGTGTTCATTTTATGAATCAGCCCAGCCCAGCCCAGCCCAGGCCCAGCCCAGCCCAGCCCAGCCCATCCCATCCCAGCCCAGCCCAGCCCAGCCCAGCCCAGCCCAGCCCAGCCCAGCCCAGCCCAGCCCAGCCCAGCCCAGCCCAGCCCAGCCCAGCCCAGCCCAGCCCAGCCCAGCCCAGCCCAGCCCAGCCCAGCCCAGCCCAGCCCAGCCCAGCCCAGCCCAGCCCAGCCCAGCCCAGCCCAGCCCAGCCCAGCCCAGCCCAGCCCAGCCCAGCCCAGCCCAGCCCAGCCCAGCCCAGCCCAGCACAGCACAGCCCCACCAGGCCCGGTCCGAGATCTCACCCCGGCGTTGCTCTGCTGGGCGAGAGCGTGCAGACTGAGGCTGCGGCAGGCCTCGGTCAGCCGCTGGCGCTCCTCCTCCTGCTCGGCGCGGTGCTCCTCGGGCGGCGCGCGCACCAGCTGCTTCATCGCCTCGAAACACACGTGCTCCGGCGGCGGCTTCGGCTTGGGGCGGCATCAGACACGCGTCAACGACCAAAGCGCCAGCCATCACGTCTGACTCGACGTACGGATGGCGCGTCAACAACCAAAGCGCCAGCCATCACGTCTGACTCGATGTACAGATGGCGCATCACAGGCGATGACGACGTGCATGCGTGGGACGCAAACAGTGCGACTGCGTTTTCAGGTCTGGATATAAGTTTGCATGGCATGGCCAACGTAAGCTGTTTTGCAGGTCAAGCTTATCATCACAGTTAGGTCGGAGTTCTTGAGAGCAAAGCGTATATCACAACTGATAGGAACATGACATTCCTGGAGATGTCATAAAACAATTTCAAGTATATGAAAACGGTCCACGAACGTCTTTATAGAAATGGCTGGAGTCGATGGATCAGCCCACTTAAACTTTTACCAATTGCAGCCAAGGTCTTCGCGTAATGGGGAAGACCGCTCATATTTGTTTTAAACGAAAGTTCGGTTTTGGTATAATCCACACATCTATGATCCCAACAGGCTAGTGTTTGATGCATGAAATATTTATGGAAACAAAATAATAAACAACAAAAAAGTAAGCCAAAATCAGCGAACAGCACACGTCCACCTGGCTGTCATTACTGAGAACAGAAAGGCGAGGCTGGAAGAATGCGCGACAGCTCGCAGAGGTGACCAAAAACATACATCTGAGGCATGCAATTAAAGCGACCTTTCATGCCGCACGATTCCCGCTCGCCGTTCTAGCGGGGAAAGTCAATCACATCACACTGCGCAGAGGGAGAAGCGTGGCACACAGAGCGGACAGAGGGAGCGCGCGGCACCCCGCGGACAAAGGGAGAGCGTGGAACACCCCGCGGACGGAGAGAGCGCGCGGCACCCAGCGGACAGAGGGGGAGCGCGGCGCACCCTGCGGACAGAGAGCGCGCGGCACCCAGCGGACAAATGGACAGCGCGACGCACCCGCGGACAGAGAGCGCGCGGCACCCAGCGGACAAATGGACAGCGCGACGCACCCGCGGACAGAGAGCGCGCGGCACCCCGCGGACAGAGGGAGAGCGCGGCACACCTCGTGGACAGAGGGAGAGCAGTCGGCAAACCCCGCGGACGGAGAGAGCGCGCGGCACCGAGCGGACAGAGGGAGAGCGCGGCACACCCAGTGGACAGAGAAAGAGCAGTCGGCGCAAAACAAGCCGGCATTTGCAGACACGGCGCCTCACACACACACGCATCCAATTACATCGCAGTGCGCAGCGCTGCGGGATGAGCAAACACAATCTGCTGCTGAAGGAAGCTTTGCACCGGTCCAGGGAACGCTGTCGGGCACGGTGGTGATATTGGAAACACGTGCCAGCCTCGTCAGCGGCAGGGAGAGCATGCCAGGCGGCTGGCGGAATCGGCACAACTCGGGAGGCCGGACTGTCGAGGCAGGCGGCGTCGACCGTACGGACCGACTCCGTATCAGGGATGGTGCTCCCGGCAGATGGCGACACAGCACGCCCAGCGGCGACGCCAGGCGTCGGACAGACACACTGGGATGATCGATAAACGCATCGGCAACACGGACAGACACACTGGGATGGCCGATACACGCATCGGCAACACGGACAGACACACTGGGATGGCCGATACACGCATCGGCAACACGGACAGACACACTGGGATGGCCGATACACGCATCGGCAACACGGTTAAACACGCGACAGGCGTGGGCGTAGTCCCGAAGCGACAGGCGTGGGCGTAGTCCAGACGCCAAAGGCGTTAGCGTGGTCCAGGCGCGACCGGCGTTAGCGTTTAGCGTGGTCCAGGTGCGACAAGCGTCAGCGTTTAGCGTGGTCCAGGTGCGACAGGCGTCAGCGATTAGCGTGGTCCAGGTGCGACAGGCGTTAGCGATTAGCGTGGTCCAGGTGCGACAGGCGTTAGCGCAGTCTGGACGCGAATGCACAGCAGCGACAGTGCGCGAAAGGACACCGCTACGAAGGACGGCTCAGCGTGGCGGCGGTGACAGCGGAACAACGCCCCGCCCGGCAGCTCACAACGCTCTTCTTCAGATGCAGCCTGGGCATACTGAGCAGCATCCCCCACGCTGGACACGTGCCGCTGCACATGCGTGGAATGTCTTTTAGACTAGCCCGGAGTTTCAAATAAGGACAACCGCCTCGTGGTGCTCAGAGGCATGGGCGACTCATTCCGTGCAGGACGTCCAGTCATACACCTCCGGAAAGTTTTTCCACCAGACGGCCCACCTTCCGCGGCAGCCGACAACAATGCTAAGTATCGCCACAAAAGAGCAGAGGTGGACGAAAGCAGACGCTGTGCACACGACATCGAGCAGGGAGCCACTGAGAGAGCTGAGGACACCGATGCCGGCCAGGCGGCGCGTACCTAGCTGGTGCGACTGACGTACTGCACTGCCTCCGTTTAGCGGTCGACACTGACAGGCGCCGGCCAGACGCCACGTTTGTACTGTATTCCGCGCCAGCAACACGTCAAAACGAAGGCAGCTGATGGCGCCGGTCACGGGCTCGCGGCGGTCCGGCTCAGCCGTCCGAGCGCACCTTCCACCAAAGGGCCGGACGCAGCCGGCACGCCCTACGCCGCTGACACCAACATCATCTGTACAGGCCGCTGGACGTCACCAGGCTCACGCAAGCGTCGGCGCTGTCCTGGCAGCACGCCGTCGTGCGCGCGTCCTTCTCATAGCCTCGATCTGCTGCACGCCGCGCCACCGTCCGCTGCGTCCAAGACCCCTGACAGTGGCGGCGCAAGCGCCACACGGATCGCGGTCGCCAGCTCCAACAAGCTCCGTCAGTTAAGCGCTCGGGGCCGGCTCCGTGCCCAGGCGAGAGGCCTCAATCGGCGCCGTCAGAGTCACGGCGAGTCCGTTCCTGAGAGGGCGGTCAGCGTGGCGGCCGGGGCAGCACGGCGGGCGCCGCTGCCCCGACCACCACGCACTGAGGAAGGGGAGTGGGCGGGGTGGGTCGGGAGGAAGGGGGCCTCCCGGGCTCCACACGGGCGGGCGGGCGGCCCGGGGTGTGCGCGCGTCAGCACATGAACTCCCGGGGGCGCCGCCCCATGTGCTACAGCACCACTTGGCGGCGCGGCGGCGGGCGGAAGTGGCGCGGCCGCGGAGAGCCGCAGCCGCCGCGCTGCCGCGAGTCCCGGCAGGCACGCACAGTCTGAAACAGCCGGCCACAGCGGCCGTCACGGCCCGCAGCCGCCCGTCCACGACCGCGCGAGCGTACAGGGCGCGCGACGTGCGGGACAGCGTCCGCACGTGGTGCGGGAGGCCGACACGCCCGGGTGAGGCAGCTGCAGCGCCACGCCTGTTCAGCGCGGCCGCACATCGAACGAAGGGGAGACGTGCAAACGGGACTGCGGGTCAGCCATGCTGCGACAGCCAACACCACATGGAGCCGGACGCCGAGCGACTGAGGCACGACGCCAGCCATCAGCTCAGGCGGTCTCCGACACGGCTCAGACGTGCAAGTCGGCAGGAGTGAGAGGGCACGGCACCATATGTCAATGTGTCTGGTTCGGTGCTAACTGAGGCGCAATGACATTGACAACAGGCGAAGTACTAGAAGAACTAGTGCGTGGGCTAGCCAACTTCGCCCCCAGCAGCACAGCGCATCGATCTGCTTCGGGCCCTATTGCTGTGCGCCAACCAGGGCGCTGTTGTATACCGATCCCATCGCACGTCCCGCTGCAGCGAAACTGCGTCCGACTCTGCCAAGGCAGCGTGCGCTTCAGCGACTTGTAGAAAACTCAACGGAACCGAGGCGGTGCATGGGAAGAAGCAAACCACGACTCGTCCAGCCTCTCTCTCTCTCTCTTCCCTACCCCAACGCCGGACGGGATTCCAGGCCACAGAACCTGGCGCTGCATACGGAGTAATGGAGCAGCCCCGGCCAGCAGCTATCTCCAGCAGCCATCATCGGCAATTACCGTCAGTGCGGGAGGCAGCCCAAAGAGCGTACAACATACAGCATGCAGGCCTTACAAGCCCGCACTAACCCTCCGCTGCAGACCTGGACAGGTCGGACTTTAATCGCTTGGAAATCTGAAGGAGTGCCTCCAGGGACTTCACTATCCGCCCAGAACGGCGCTTGGAGCCGCCATTTCCATTGGGAGAAACATATTCCCAAGGTCGGGTTCCTACGGAGCTGTCGGAGCCGACTGCCATGGTGGGAACAGTGTCTGAAGGATGAAGACCATGTTGAGAGGTGAGGGAGGCTCAAGCCCCTGCATTAACTAACCCATTATTGAGAGCAAAACGGCTCGCACTGTTGGACTGCGACCTCGTAAAACTTGCGCGACCTCAGGCTAACCAGCCCGCGGCACAATAACGAACACACTGCGACATGTTTTCGAGTGAGACCGTGCGACGCGCCGCGCTCCGCCGCAGCCGTCTCGGGCGGCGCCCGGTGGCGACCCGGTGACCCAATGTCCGGACCACAGACGGTCGAAATAACTCCACGTGCACGCGACAGACTCTAGGTCAGTCTCGCAACACTCTGTTCGGGGCTGGGGTCACGCTCCCACCAGAGCAGGCGTCCCGAAAACAGGCGCAAAAGCGACGGGGACGGCAGGCACCAATCAGTCCGAAGGGAAAGGCTATCTTGCGAAAATTGCTTTCCTGGTAGCGTTGGCGCACAACGCCTTAAGTATACGTGTCCCTGATATACGTGTATACCTTACCACAAGCAGCGTGGGTGTCGCGAGCCTCCGATGCGAGCTGGTCACTGCGGGTGAACTCAAAAGCCCTGGCCGCGGACCACCGTACTACGCTCGGTTGGCCTTACAAGCGCGGTCAGCCCGGGCGATTTTCGTCGACAGGTCACGAAGGACAGCCACCCGGAGGAAGGCTAAATGCCGGCGACTCAGACTCGTGATTGGCAAACCTCAACTTTGATTGTCAGCAGATCATTCTGACACAACTCGGACCACGGCGTGAGAGTTCGCCAACTCTGCAATAGCCAGCAGTGATAAGTAATCAAGCGATCGTTCCCTCCCATAGCTCGTGGCCGTCCCAACAGCACTGCTGACGACAGCGGAGGTGTGGAACTCCAAGTCTGAGGCTTCGCTGCACGCCACGTCCGCGGTGAGTGGTGCCAGACGGGCTATAACACGCGCCCGAACTCCCAGAGCGGGCGCCTGGCGATCCCACCCGGTCGGCCTCAGGCCACTCCAGCTGATTGCTACAGTCTGGATGGGTCTGGCAAGCACCCTTGGCCATTGTGTAAGCAGCGGAGCAGAAGCCAAGGCTGGGGCAACAACGGCATACTCGGCTTGTCGGTTTGTCGCAGGAGCCGCCCACAGCGCCCAATCGTCGGCGAGCTCGGCGCCGTACCCGCCCAAGGTGGCGATTTCAGCTTTTGTGGTTAAGCCACGATCATGAACGGCGAACTTTGATCTTTGGAGTATTGTCGTGCGGGGCTAACTCACGGCAGTTCCCGTAAACGGGTAGCAGTCGTCCCTGTGTAGAGAACTCAGGCCTTCAGGATTATCCGCTAGCACGAATGAAATTAGCCCATCTCACGCCACTGTAATCCCATGCACTGGACAAAACAGCCCCATTCTTTACCTAATTGTTTTCGGGAATCGCTCCGACGCACACAAAAGCAGGAGACCCCCAACAGTCGCGTAGCAGGCCCGAGTGATAAACATAAAAACAGAACGCAGCTATTATCATATCGCATGTTTTTAATCATACGACGACCAACAGCCACAACTAAGGAAAACCCAACAATGGTAGTGTTTCTCCGAAACTGCCTGAAGTAAGACACCAGCAGAATGTTGCGGTGCGCCGCCGCCCAATAACAGCAGAGGAAGACGCTCAATATGTTCACGCTTCAGTGCGCAGCGCACGTTCAGTGCACATTCAGTGCACAGCGCACGGCGCATGCATGCTGACGTGGCGGTCGGGAGCGCACAGACGCTGAACCGCACCAGGACAGAGTGAGCAGCGTCGTCTCCGAAGCTGATGATGGAAGTTCGTTCAGAGCAGCACAACAAACGGCAGAGCACGGGCAGAAACATCTAGCGGAACTTGCGACATTCAGATTTGCGAGGCAGCGGACAGCGACAGGAACGGGGTGAGATAGCTGTTAAGCCGTCTCAAAAAGCCGAGCCGCATATGAAAAAGTCACAATGCAGGCGCTTGTAAAGCTCACGAGAAACGGAGGCATACACGGGAAGGTCAGGGCCAGGTAATCAATAGCCAACCAAGCCAGCCACCCAAGAACGAGAGCGGGCAAATGACATAACCAACGCAAATTATGAGAAAGGCTGTCAGTTCCTGTACGAACGGGACACTTGCAATTCTCACTGGAGTCAGTGCTGTGTAACAAACATAACTAATATGAAGGGAACGATATTTACTCACGAAACATTCGTTAAGCCTCAGCTTAATCACGTGGGTGACAAGAAACAAAGTTTGGCAAGCAAAATTACAAGCAAAATTACTTGACAACAAAAATAGCCAACAGTTTAGTACCACTTCACATTTGGTGCTATTAAAACCAGATAGGGATACTTTTCACCCAGCTTAAGTAACGATACCCGACATGACACCACGATGAAAAATGTTGCATGCATTTTGTTCACCACACATTCTGACTCCCGCTTTCTCTTACAGCAACGGGAGTAAGCTAACTCGACAAAAGCCCCGATAACAGACAAAACAGCGAAGTACAGAGCCGTGTTCGCGAAACCGACGTCGGCAGACTCCAGAACTCGGCCGGGGGATGGGGAGGGGGAGGGCGATGAGGTCGGCGGCGCAGCGGCGGCCCGCCGGCGCGCCCCCGGAGCCGCGGCCGCCGCCTGGCCAGCGCCTCACCTTGAACAGGCCGATGGAGGAGGACATGCTGTCCACCTCGACGGTGATGTTGTTGAGGTCGCGCTCGCTGCCCTGCAGGATGCTCTGGCGTTTCTGCCACACCGACGCCGAGCTGCGGCGAGACAACAGAGGCCCGGCCGCTGAGGCCTTGTTCGCCGCCGGCGCGGTGACGGTGCACGATAGTCGAGCAGTCTTACGGTCAACTGAGCATCGGGCCCGTGGGGACACAGCGCGTCACCTCGACCTCACCGCCGCAAATCAGGTGGCATCACTTGTATCGGTTCACTGGTCGGCTCGACATGCGTTTTCCCAGTCGCGATCGCGTACGAGGCTCCCCGCACCCCGCCGAGGTACGAGACACCCCGCCGAGGCAGATTGCCGCGCGTGAGCCTCGGGCTAAATGGGGCCTTCCACGAACCATCCGAGCGCGGCATTCCCGACATCCAGGCGAAACCACGGCACGCACCCCATTGCGTTATCTTAGCCCAAAGGGTGGAGCGAGCCCGTCGTCACCAGAAAGTCTGTGGTCTCAATAATATATCCACAACCAAGCATTCGCATTCAAACTATGCCCAGGGCGGTCTGACCGGTGGCCTTGTCCTCTGCACTCTAGCTCCCTCTGGCTTGTGCTCCAGGTGCCGAGATCTCCTTGTTGCTGGGATTGCCTGTGGCCGTGACCTCGGCTGACCCGGACCTGCGCACTCAGTTCCCCACTGTTTCCGCTTCCTGGCACCGGAGCTTCCGTCAAACTCCGCTCAGGTAGGCCACGTTCCCGTTACGTTTCGCAGCTGCGACCCTGAATCGCCGCGACCTGCCGCTGCCGGTACGCCCGTCAGGTCGCGCCGCCGCCTCACCTGGGCATCATGTTGCTGAAGGGGGTCTGCAGTCGGGAGGCGTCCAGGCCGTGGCCGGTGAGGACCTCGGTGAGGCGAGCCTGGTCCAGCAGCAGGCAGGCGTCGGGCGGCTCGCGCCCCAGCGTCGGGTCGTAGTGCCAGGTCAGGTCCGGCAGCAGGTGCGGGCTGCGCTCGCGGCGCGCCGACACCACCTGCCGGCCGGCCGACACACGGCGCTCACGGTCAGGTCACGGTCACGGCCAGGGCAGGGCGGGTCAGGGCCACGCCAGGAACGATGTAGTGTATGAATGTCTCTTGACTGCACCACTGCGAGACAGCCACTCGAGCATGGACAACCGTGTCAACCAGGACAACCAGCCGTTGATCGACACATCTAGCACCTTGGCTGGTCTATCACGAACTATCGCGCATCAGCTAAGTACCAAGCATGATCTTTATCAGCCCATGGAGGCTAAGACAAACGCTACGATGAAAGGACGTCCGACGTGTTTTGAATGATCCGTTCCATGACAGGAAACCCACTACAGTTGCGCAGGCGTTGACCAGACATAGCACCCAAAGCGCGGTGTTGAGGTCCACAGACCACGCTGCCGGCACTGTTGAGGTCCGCGGACTGTTGAGGTCCGCGGACCACGCCGCCGGCACTGTTGAGGTCCCCGGACTGTCGAGATCCACGAACCACGCTGCCGGCACTGTTGAGGTCCCCGGACTGTTGAGATCCACGGACCACGCTGCCGGCACTGTTGAGGTCCGCGGATTGTTGAGATCCACCGGTCACGTTGCCGACACTGTTGAGGTCCGCAGACCACGCTGCCGGCACTGTTGAAGTCCGCGGACTGTTGAGATCCACGGACCACGCTGTCGGCACTGTTGAGGTCCGCGGACCACGCTGCCGACACTGTCGAGATCCACGGACCACGCTGCCGGCACTGTTGAGGTCTGCGGACGCCACTGTCGGCACTGTTGAGGTCCGCGGACGACGCTGCCGGAATTCTGTTCTGGCCCGCTTAGAACGGCGAGCCGTCTTACCTGTTTGACGTACTGGTACAGGGCAGGCACGCTGCACTGGGAGGAGACGAAGTTGGCAAACGTGATGGCCAGGATGTGCAGGTTGATGCGAAGAGTCTGACTCATTTCAGAGTTCAACGCTATCTCCTGAAACGGTAGCGCAACCCTGCCCGTAAAACTTCTGAAGGAGTTACTACAGAGTGCCCTCTTCAAAAATTATTTCATCCCAGGACACCGACAAAGTCAACCTGAGCACAAATGGGGAAAACGCAAGTGTGTTATACCAATATGACTCGCGAAATGGCCCAAGCAGTCGATTTGCGCTCAAAATACATCAAGATGAATAGCGCTGACGCCAAGCAACTGATTACAACACGAAACTAACCTTGCAAACGGTCAAACCTAATGTAGCTTTGATATATTTCACGACGCATCAAACTGCTGAGGTACTTGCAATGTATCCCGACAATAAGGTCAGGGGACACCGAAACACGGCCGGTATTGGATATCAAATCCCAACCTTCCCGGGGGTGTGCAAACCAATGGCCCATCATACAATGCTCAAAACCATCGAGCTTCATATTGGTGATAAATACCAGACTACTGTTCCCCTCCAGCAGCCGCATCCCAAGCCACTAACGTTGGGCCCCAGGTGACCTGAGGTCCCAGCCGGTCGGCCCCGGTGGCCTGATGTCACAACCGGTCGGCCCCGGTGACCTGATGTCACAACCGGTCGGCCCAGGTGACCTGAGGTCCCCTCGGTCGACCTAGGTGACCTGATGTCACGGTCAGTCTACCCAGGTGGCCTGATGTCCCAGCCGGTTGACCCAGGTGACCTGAGGTCACCGCTGAAGGAGTGCGGCCGGCGGCCGACAGCTGACCTGCATGTCCAGCGTCAGCCGCAGGACATCCGGCAGAAAGTCCGGGCAGTTGACCTCGAGCCAGAGCAGCGCCAGGGTGGTGTAGATAGCAGTCAGGTTATCTAAGCTGTTGTTAGCCAGCTCCAGACTCTCCAGCAGGCAGAGCAGCATCTCAGGACCGTTTCGCTTGATGAACATCACGTCCTGGCGGGAGCACTTGTGTACCTGCAGGTCCAGCTGGGTGATGTCTAGTCTGCAGGGCGCGGGAGGGGCGTCAGCGGCGACGCCGGAGCGGGAAGCGGCGTCAGTGGCGACACCAGAGCGGGGAGCGGCGTCAGCGGCGACACCAGAGCGGGGAGCGGCGTCAGCGGCGACACCAGAGCGGGAAGCGGCGTCAGCGGCGACACCAGAGCGGGGAGCGGCGTCAGCGGCGACGCCGGCCCTCCGTCATGTCCTGACATCGGTCCCGACATGCCAAAGCCTGACAGCACCGATCTGACACCAGGCCCCCGGCACCCACGGCCAGTGTGACACCACCGACTCGACACGACCATCTGACACCAGGCCGGCGGCACCAACGGCCAATGTGACACCACCGACTCGACACGACCATCTGACACCAGGCCGGCGGCACCAACGGCCAGTGTGACACCGCCGACTCGACAAGACCATCTGACACCAGGCCGGCGGCACCGACGGCTATTGTGACACCAATGGCTCCACACGGCCATCTGACACCAGGCCGGCGGCACTCATGGCCAGTGTGACACCAATGGGTCGTCACGGCCATCTGACACCAGGCCGGCGGCACCGACGGCCAGTGTGACACCACCGACTCGACAAGGTCATCTGACACCAGACCGGCGGCACCGAGGCCAGTGTGACACCAATGGCTCCACACGGCCATCTGACACCAGGTCGGCGGTACTGACGGCCAGTGTGACACCAATGGCCCGACACGGTCATCTGACACCAGGTCGGCGACACCGACGGCCAATGTGACAGCACCGACTCGACGCGGCCATCTGACACCAGGCCGGCGGCGTCGACGAGCTGTGCGCTGGCCGCGGCGCAGCGGCGGGCCCGGGCACGGGCCGTACCTGGGCTTGTCCAGGCGCGCCAGATTCCCCCGCCGGTCGATCAGCGTGTGCAGGATGCGCTGCACCAGCAGCCGGATCTCCGGGTCCGGCGCCAGCGACATCCGCATTAGCGGGTCCAGGAACGACAGCGGGAAACGTGGTGGCCAGGTTCAGCGACGTGTACTTGGTGCCCACCTGCGCCGACAGCCGCCGCCGGTCAGCCGCCAGCAGCGGACGACACGCCGCACAGGTCACGTGTGGTATATGTGAGATGTGGCAGAGCGGTGTCTTTGCAGAGGGTTACAGCGAGTCGATGGACTTAATACCGCGGGTGGCTTGAGTGAACGCTGCTGCATGATTGACAGGCATTTATTCTACCCGGCACGTCGCAGATCAATACAAAATGGCTGAACTGAAGATATGAGTTGGGAACGCCCAAAACGAGCATGACTCGTTATTTCTAAAAAGGAACAACGCGAGCGAAACACGAAGCATGGTTCATCCCTTGATGGCAATCTGAAGGCTTTGGCAAATATGCCTGCTCAATAATTTGGTTCCAATATCCATGGGAGTAGAATGAGGGCCGGGTCTCCTACCCCGGCCGACAGCACAGCTTACCACACGGTCCGTGTTGGTCATGTACGAGGCGCAGCCTAAGACGCCACAATGCCATATTGCTGGCAATGACATAAGGCTGGTATACGCCAGGACGCTGCATATAAGTGTGAAGCACGATCAATAAAAGCAAACATTATATTCCCTATCTTGATTATCCAACGGCGCATCGTGGTAGTTTCAGTATGTGATGACTATTGATCAGTACATTGGGGCCATTTTGGAAAGCGTCTGTTCTGACATAGCGGAAACAATTCGTGGCCAGACCTACGCCATCCAATGTCTCTGCAAATAAAAATGACAATAAAACTTGGGAGATTCGCCGTGAACCAGCCGAAGCGCCAACAGACCCGAGTCTGTCATAATAATAACAATAATGATGACGGTCCATATGACCAGATGGCCCATAATAATAATAATAATAATCATCATCATAATATAATAATATATAATAATCATCATCATCGTCGTCAAAACAAAAATAATAATTTAATAATCCCAGTACATGAAGGTTCTGCTTAACAGTCGACAACTGAGATTGAGGAGATGCAAGCTTACAACCTAAGATCAGCCGTGTCAAAACGGAGAATCCCCCACCACAAAGCACCCATCAAAGACCACACCCACGCCTGCTGCCATCCCTGATTATGTCTGCAAGCAGTCTATCAAGTGGAGTTAGTCCAATTTTCAGTGAGGATGCTGTGAATAAAGTCTAACCAATTAAAGACAAGCTTTTTACAAGAAAAAGCAGCGAACGTTCGCTCTCAGTGACGTCACTTAGATGCCCCTCCCACCTATTCGCTCATTCTACCACAGAGCAATGGTCTCCAGGGTCTTCGTAAACATGGCACAAAAATGCGCCATATTCATCCCACTCTCAAATCTGCCTATATCGCAGCCCTGCCTATTCGAAGACAAAAAAAGATACCGAAGGAAACAAGTACCTGCTCGAAACATGACTGAGACACCAGTGTCAGAAACAGGCTGCCAATGGATCATTACGTGAGACCCGAACGAAGTACAAACTTAAATGTTTTAATGAAGGCAAGGATCACGTCGGAAAAAAAGGAAAGGTTTGAAAGAAATCGGGCAGAAAACAACAAAAAATCCACAAAAAGGCTGATATTTGCTCTTAAAAGGTACCTGGTATATTAACGCGTAAAAGAAGTTTAAGCTAACCGAGTTGAACTCAGCTATATGTGTAATATTTCACTGCTTTACACGAAGGTGGCACTCACCCGACATTATTCCCTATGACGTCATTTACCCGAAATCATCGCCTTTGTCATTGAGCGACATCATTCCCTATGGCGGCATTCGCCTTACGACGGCTTTATCCATTATCCGTATCCGCGCCCAGCACACGGCTTTTTCCGTTGTGGCGTGAGCGGGACGGGGCGCTTGCAGCACACCCAGCACACGGCTTTTTCGTTGTGGCGTGAACGGGAAGGGGCGCCTGCACGCCGGGCGCGGCCGCGCGTGTCGAGCTCGGCCAGCTCCGGCGCTGAAGAGCGGTATGCCCTGGCGTCATTACCCGCGCGACAGCCGGCCCCCAGCACAGTGGCGAGCTATTTCGGGCCAGGCAGGGGCGGCCGGCCGGCGTCGACAGACGCACGGCCGGCTGCCGCATGGCGCCGACAGCGCACCACGCGCCGTGAGGCGGGGTCCGGCGTGGCCGCGTGTGAGCTGTCGCCCGTGACGGGCGGCGCTGGCGGCGAGCCTCATTAACGGACGGGCCGCCCGGCTGCCTCCAGACCGCCGGCTACGCTCGGCCGGCTGCGGACAGCGCCAATACGCTCGGCAAGGACGGTTATTAGTTCTGTCAGTGATTTACGTCCGGCCCAGTGATTATCGAGCGCCCGGTCACAGCGCGCCGGAGAGCCGCTCCCGCGGCATCTGACGCCGCCGCCTGTGGCGTCCTGACCCACCCCGCCCGAGCCACGCGTGTGCCGTGTCCTGTTCCACCCCGTCCGAGCACGCGTGTGCCGGCCTGTGGGCCGGCGCGTCCGACTACCTTGAGCAGACTCCTGAGCAGCATGTTCTGCAGCAGCACCTCACTCTCGGAGTCGGCCTCCAGTCGTTCCCGGTCGCCCGGGTACTGCGGCACCTTGCCCATGATGAACATCATGATCTCGATTTTCTGGTAGTCTGGCGCGGAGGACACGGGGACAGAGTTAGCGGGGGGAGCGGGGGGGGGGGGGGGGGTGGCGCACGGCGCGGACCGTCGACAGCCGGACTCAAGCCTCGCCCGCAGGCGGGCGGGGACAGCGGTCAGACATCGCCCCACAGCCGGAGGCGGCCTCGTCCTGAGGCGCACACTCTGACATCGGCGACAGACGCGCCTTGCCATGCACAGCAAACTGCAGACTTGAGCGGGCGGGCAACGCCGCGGGCGTTCGCACGCGGCAGACTGGCGTCACATTTGTGACGGAGCGCCGCGAACGCCGCAGGCGTCGCCCCGTCGCTGACCCCGACCACGAACGGACAGCGCGCTGGTCACCGCCCCGGGCCGCCCACCGCCCACCACGCATCCCCAGCCCAACGGCCGCCCCCCGTCGTGGTCAAGTCCCCTAAACACTCAGCGTCCCATCGCAGTGGACGGCGATGCCTCAGCCCCCACCACCCGGCCACCCGCCGCCGCGGCCGAGCGCGCCACCCACCGGGCAGGTTATTGGCGAACTCGCCGAGCGCGTTGATGAGCGCCTCCTGGTACTGGCGCTCGTTGCGCTGGTCCTTCTGCGTGCCGGCGCTGCGGTTGGTGGTCACCGACTGGCGCAGGTGGCTCAGCACCGAGTTGATGATCTCCAGCACGGACGGGCCTGCCACGACAGGCACGGTTATGCAGGTCACACGGTGGGCCACACGGTCGGTGCCGGAGACGGGGGCGCCGGGCGAAGCAGGGTATCAGTGCGGCCCACGCTCGCCGGATGCGAGCGGCCGACTCCGCTGCCGGCCAGGTTGGGCCGACGCCGCCGGACTCAGCCCGACGGCGACGGCCGTCTGTCAGATCGCTCCGGTCGTCTGTCAGATCACCACGCCCGTCTGTCATATCACTTTCACGGGCTGTCATATCACTACGGTCGTCTGTTAGATCGCTCCGGTCGTCTGTCAGATCACTACGCCCGTCTATCATATCACTCTGAAGGGCTGTCATATCACTACGGCCGTCCGTCAGATCGCTCCGGTCGTCTGTCAGATCACCGCGCCTGTCTGTCATATCACTACGGCCTTCCATCAGATCGCTCCGGTCGTCTGTCAGATCACTACGCCCGTCTGTCATATCATTCTGACGGGCTGTCATATCACTACGGCCGTCTGTTAGATCACTCCGTTCGTCTGTCAGATCACACCGAGCGTCTGTCAGATCAGTCCGCCCGTCTGTCATGTCACTCCGGGTGTCTTTCAGATTACTCAGGCCGCCTGTCAGATCCCTCCGGGCGTCTGTCTGATCATTCCGGGCGTCTGTCAGATCACTTCGACCGCCTCCCTAACGCCACTGGAGCCGGCGGGAGGCAGGACTAGACGGGTGGTGGCCATTCCACAAGACCATTGCTCTGACCAGTGCGTCCGTTATGTTTAGAACGGCTGTAACAGGGATCACGACGACCAACAAAATATCTTACATCAAATGCACAAAGCAATATACAACATTCAAGGCCCACCAATGACAGAGTAACCCCGTCCAGACACTAACTCCCTCTCAGCCACCCCCACGTCGGGCGCTGGCCGTCACTGACCGACACACTCGCCGGCAGCGATGGTGATGATCTTGGCCAGCACGTCGGCGATGCCCGTGCGCACGGGCGCCTCTGAGCGCGCCTTCTCGTCTAGGTGCGTCATCAGCAGCTGGATCACAGCGTACGAGTGCTGAGCCTGCGAAACACGCGCGCCACCGATGTCAATGGTCGCTCATGTTACCAGCCGGCGGCCACGGAGGCCACCGTGAAGCCAAGGACCTCCCGCCGCCATCCGCGGCCCGCCCACAGCAGGACATCCACACATCGCCAGGAGGCTGTCACCATCCGCGGCCTGCCAACAGCAGGACATCCTCACATCACCGGGAGGCTGTCACCATCCGCGGCCCGCCTACAGTGACAGGATGCTCACACATCATCGGGAGGCTGTCACCATCCGCGGCCCACCTACAGTGACAGGATATCCACACATCATCGGGAGGCTGTCACCACCCGCGGTCTGCCTACAGTGACAGGATATCCACATATCGCCGGGAGGCTGTAACCATCCGCGGCCTGCCGACAGTGACAGGATACCCACAAATCACCGGGAGGCTGTCACCATCCGTGGCCTGCCAACAGCAGGACATCCTCACATCACCGGGAGACTGTCACCATCCGCGGCCTGCCAACAGCAGGACATCCACACATCACCGGGAGACTGTCACCATCCGCGGCCTACCCACAGCAGGACATCCACACATCGCCAGGAGGCCGTCAGCCATCCGCGGCCTGCCAACAGCAGGATATCCTCACATCGCCGGGAGGCTGTCACCATCCGCGGCCTGCCAACAGCAGGACATCCACACATCACCGGGAGACTGTCACCATCCGCGGCCTGCCAACAGCAGGACATCCTCACATCGCCAGGAGGCTGTCACCATCCGCGGCCCGCCTACAGTGACAGGATATCAACTGTGGCCTTGGGCGCACGTATCCAGTGAGGGGCAGAACAGGCTGTCATAACAGTCGGATGACATCAAAAGGTCAGGTATCTGGTGTAAAACTAGCCAGGGTTATTTCAACGTGAACAATTCCAAGCGTACACGTAGACTTGCACGTCGCATTTTGCCAGTTAACGCGCGCTCGGGTGGCCGGTTGAATCCCATCCTTGTCTCGGGTGAGTGGGGAGGAGGGCGCGATTTTACCCACAGAGACCTCAAAATTACGAAAATTGGACACCAAAATTCAGTGCGGACTGGCCTGTACGGGAACTTATTTGTGTCAAAATTTGAGGTTCCTAGATTGTGACCTTCGGGTCAAATAAGGTCAAGCAAAGTCAAATTACAGATTAGTGTCCAAATTGGCCCAAGACTTCATTATGCAACCGTCTTGAACCCAGATACCTGCTCTAAGTATACGGTCACTGGTGTTCATTAGAAGTAAGTGACCTTGTTTGACCTTTTGTCACAATGACCCAAATTCTACGATATTTTTTTTAATTCCTCTATTTGGATCAGCACCAAGGATGCGCTACGCGTTACGTTCCTAAAAACAAGATATTGACTTGGGTTAATTTAGGTTTGTGACCTTTTCTGTCCTTTAGGAAGTCAATGGGAGACGTCTGTTGCGGTCTCTGTTATCAATATTTTCGAAATGAGCACCGGGAAATTACGCATAACAGGATAATCTAGGGTAAAAAAGTAGTTTGACATTGACCTCCGTCTGACCTTCATACCTGACCCAACGTTATTTAAATTTGCTACAGTTCTAAATCTCTCCGTCGTTTTGCCTAACAAAAAGTATTTCAGACATGCATAGCTTCACGTACCACTGCGTTGTCGCAGCAGTTGTAAAGATTGCCTCATTGAAGATTCCCTTATTCAAAACTGTCTTCGCTGACAGCCAAGGCGTGACTTTGACCTGCCATAGGTACATAGGTTGCAAGTTATATTGAATGTTTTCAAACCAAAAGATTCGTGATTCAATTCCCTACGATTTTGCATATCAAGTGTGGCTACACCAGTCGTTCTAAAATTATTCTGTAAAAACCTTCGGGGTCCATCGACGCGCGCACGAATGCGCGTCAACAATCTGGATCAAGCTTTTCACTTGTGTGTTCACCAAATTCCTTTCCAGCACGTCGAGAGCATGTTGAGAGGAACGCGTGCGCAACGCCCCCTTTGTTCCGGCTTCAGTCCGATATTAGAGATTAGGTGATACATGAAAGGAGCCGGGCACTTTGCCCACAACCTCTTCACAAAGTAGGAGCATTTGAGCGATTACCACGACTTCGTCACGAAATCTCCTGCACTTGGACGGCCGCTCAAAGAAGCTTCGTGTCCTCACGTTTTGCACCGTGGCGCGCTTCCACTAATGATTAGGGCTACATTGTTGCGTCGAAGGGCAAACGAAGGCAAAGACACAGCGCGCGCTCTGTTCCAGCTGAAGATTACAGCATGCTTGGACCAAAGGGGATCCTGAGCTCCTCTAATGAGCAGCAATGCTAGACGGATGACAGGTGACAAGCGCAAAGGGGATTAGTATGGTAAACAGTATGATTCAAAACGTAGTAACGATAACACTGTAAGGATGTCCTTCCTATGCAAAGTTAAGTTACGGTGGTGTATCACAGCATTATAAACAAAAATGAAGGAAAAAAGAGAAAAGCGCTGCTCCATTGGAGACTTTTGTTGGCTTACAGGTAAAACCAAACTGAAATTATCAAGGGCCGTCGCTGTATGGCGCGCATTGATGCCTCTCATGTTTGTGGAACTAGCAAAGACTACGTTCGGCCTCCTTTCGTGCTTTGTGTGCACGCCTGAAACTGATCACATCCAGCTTTTTGCGCTATTTATGCATATTTTCGCCTCTTAGCAGGAAGTGCCACGGCTTGCTCTTACGTTCTTTTATGTTGACGCACGATGACGGTTCTGAAGATGTTGGCGGTTCTGTGCGTCGCTGTGGCAGTGGGGGACCACTCCTAGTTACCTATTCATGGGTGACAGTCACCAAGAAATGAACATCGGTACAGCCAAAGCATAAACAAAGTATCCTCGTGCTCGAGTGCAGCTTAGCTCTGAGAGGCCAGTTCTGCAACCTTGGACTGTAATGCAGCACAAAGCTGCTGTGCGGAAGGTTTGATCCAGCCGCATGTTCTCGGCAGCGGACAGGTTAGAGGGGTGCAGTGATTGGTGGCCGACACGTTTTGTGGACGGTGGGTTGTGAAGCTTGACCGACATGGAAGTGAGTTAAAGAGGCTGCTGTGCAGTCGGTGATGCTCGCGTGCCGGACGAGTGGATGGTAGTCCTCCACCCTCATTTGGCCATAATTCGGAAAGGCGTACGATAATAAAACCCACGGAATCGGCCGTAACATTTACCTTATTCTCCATTTAGAAAAGGATTTAGTGATAACCCTTTGATTGGAAACATTTCTTGGATGTGGTGCCTGTTGCGCGAGCGCTGACAGGACCATTCCATCGTGAACTCTGGGGCAACGGTAGAACGTTACTGCGAGAGCGTCACGCACCAACGCTTGATGTTGCCCGTCTTATCCTCTGACGTCACTTGACCTTCACCGCGCCTTCTGCTACCGGCCACAGTCCATGCAGCCGGGGCCGGACAGCGAGCGTACATATAAAGCCATTCAAACCCTTCCCTCCACTAGCTGGTGAACCGGAATGCACGACTCTAATCAACTGAGCTACTGGGACAAACTGCGTAGAAGGGAAGGGAAACATTGCTTGTTACTTTTACGGCCAAGCTTCAGCACTTGGGAAAACAAGTGGTGCATCAGGAATAGCAAAACAGCATATGAGATCACCGCTTTGATCTTAATTATTATGTCTGACTTCTATGTGGGAATAACAATACATCGTACTGAGATCTTACAAGCCATTGGACCAATTTTGGCTAGATATGACGTTTCGGACAGGGCCACGTTCTCTAAATTAAAAGATAGACAACATCACCGACTTAATCAGAAGGCTAATATTGAGATGCATCTGAGCACTTTACCCGAACCAGCTGCAACACAAGACCGGCTGTGCGAGTGTGGGATTTCAGTTTCACCGAGTTCTTACGTGCAAGCAATGCAGTCGAAGATCTGTGTGGTGCTCTCCACAACTATCAGCATAAAAAATGGGTGAACTGAAGTTATTATGCTGTCTTGTTGCTCATTCTAAATATGCCATTCTATCGTTTTGCGGGTGACAGTGCTTTTTACTCAAATCCTGAAGCTGGTCCGCAAAAATAACAAATGCTATTTCCTTTCCTTTCCACGCAGTTCGCCTCGATAGCCCAGTTGGAGCGCCTGCATTCCGACTGCCCTACTGGTGAGGAGAGCCCGAGTCGCTGTTCGGCGCCGGTTCCACGGACTGTGGTCGGTACCAGCGGCCGCGGTGAAGGTCACGTGACGTCGGAGGGTAAGACGGGGAGCGCCAAGCGTCGCGGCACGTCACGCTCTCGCCGCAAGATTCCGTCACCGTCCCGGCGTTTCACGACTGGATGGTGCTGTCACGACTGACGCGATAAGCGCCACTTAGCGTGGGCGCGGATCGCAGAAATGCATCTTGTGTATCTATGTGTCTATGCTTCGTCCCTGCTTGGGAAATGGGGGCCCGACGGGCGCATCGGAACCTCAGGGAAGGGCGCGTGCCCCCTGCACCCCTCCCCCTGCCTGCACTGCGGTCTGTTCATAGACATGCAGCACTATAGAGTTTGCGGGTCTTATGCTTCACATGATTATACTTCGCCTTTACATGATCCGACATGAATCACCCTTGAACAAAATGATTATTGTTACGTTACAGTTGTAATGGCTGCCGGGTTTACCTCCCAGAGCTAAGGCACACTGGAGTGCGACAAGACTGCTTATGCTGTGATTGTGTCTGCCGGTGGGACTACCGCGTTGATGATGTCTGAGAGATGGTAGGACGAGTACTTACGGGAATCGAGAACATGATGACCTTGAAGGTTTCTACGGCGAACTGATTGGGAACCCAGAGACCATGGTTGTCGAGGTGCCTGAAAGAAAATTCAAGACATGAACACGCCGCGTGCGCAAATCATTCATGACGAGCATGAACTACCTCTCTCACACGACCACCATGTGAATCAATTTGGACCATTAGTCCATCAGTCCGAATCTGAACCAAATAATGACGGGACGGGTTCGAAGGTTCGAAGCGAAATATCCAGCTACAGCTAAGTCGGCGGGTCAGGTCAGCGGTCCGCTGGTAAACAGGAGCTGAAGCGGCCTGGGCCCCCGTCCCCTCTCCCTTCCTGGAGGCCGCAGCCGACGGGCTGACGGGTTTACCGGTTTTCAGCAGCATTAATGGTCGAGGACGACACCAGTAAAAGCTTATCCGCACTCAAGGCAGACGTGATTCTTAAGCTAAATCCATCGAAGGCGCTTACTTCAATGCCATACTCAAAAAACGGGCCGGTCGCGAGGCTTGAAATTCATATTTGCAACCAGCATACTGTGGTCGGTGGTCAGTACGAACTTCGCCCTGACGAAGTGGGGAGGAGAGATACCTACCCCTGGCAGCTCTGAATTGGAAAGGACTAGATAGACGAACGAAATGCTCTTTCACAGCTGAGGCAATGCTTCAAAATACTAAGTGAAGTTCTTTTGGTATGTGAGGTCAGAGTAGGGTGAACTCAGATCAAATGTCATTTGTTCTGCTTTATGGGATATTCCCCGCCTCACGCCTCTGGAGCTTATCTATGCGCGGATTAATTATTCAAGTATGATATAAAACCTAAATAAACAGGATTTAAATCAACCGAACTTGTTTGAAAAAGGCAACATAGGTCATTGAGGTCACTCGTCTTTCTTTTGAACAAAGTGCCTTTGCCGACCACCGCTGACTCTTTTGGCTAGCAGCAGCAATGAATGGTGTCCAAACCGATTTTAACAACGACAAGACAGTATTAATAGCCTTATTCCTCGGAAAAACCAGGAGAATGGAGATATAGTTAGGTTGATATTTCGGTAACATGCTTTTATCGAAACAATAGCAGAAGCCTATTGTTACGATAAAGGCACGTTGCCGAGATATCAACCCAACTACATATCTATTCTCCTGGTTTTCCGAGGAATAAGGCTAATACTAATGTCTTATCCATGTGAATAATGTTCCTCGCTAATGCACTGAACAACTACGTGATTTTAACAACGCGTTAATTGCATTTTGGACTTACATCGATGACCCTTGCTGACATTGCCGAGCTCACACGGTCATGTCTGCGTGAAGAGGTAGTGCTGATAGCACGGCAGCATTAGAGTGAAACTAATGGGGGAACCACCACTAACCAAAGGTCAGGCCTCATGGTCATGTAAGGTCAATGAGGATACTATACCAAGGTGATATGTTCGGTTATCCAAGTTGTGTCTTCGTGACATGGAGCGGAAGGACCCAGGCACCGACAAATACCCGCAATCGTGCACAGGGCTTCAACATCAGACCTTGGGTCAAGTTAGGTTGTTGACCCGCGACAACCTTATAGGTCCAAACACCACCCGAGTGGCAACTTTACATGAATACAAGAACAAAAGCCATGGATAAAATAACTTCCAGCGCATTTCCAGAATATCTCCAGTTCAACCCTATTTTGGTCCTATACGCTTACACAAAAACCGCGCACGCCACTGGCCCGGCGCTACCTCAGCACGCCACTGGCCCGGCGCTACCTCAGCACGCCACTGGCCCGGCGCTGCCTCAGCACGCGCAGTTCAGAGCATTCGCCGAAGCCGTTGCAAGGGAAGCTACTGAAAGTTTCGAAAGGTTAGTTTAAGCCGTTTTCTAACAGCTTCCGACCTGGTCACGAGGAGGGCTGATACCTCCCCAGTGCGTGGGAAGGTCACCCTCCATTAAGCTCAACATCTGCTGTAAAACAAACTCAAAATGATGTCTCCAGGCGGCTATCAATCCCAGCCGAGCTGCAATAGCATCCCGAGCCAAACTCATTCAGCAAAAACAATTCGGAACTGACGCGTTATTGCGGGACCCAAATGTTCTCTCACGGCTTACACCACCTTCTCACAGGAGTCATCATAACTCAGTGCGATACGCTATTCAAAAACGTTCACTCAGCCGTCCGGAACAGTTCCTCTGGTTTTCACATCGGCCGTAATATGCTCATCTTGTGATAATTCTGAGGCTGTTATTTGTCATTCGAATGCGAAATCAGGGCGCCAAATTTGTTCGACCGACTCTAAAAAGGACCCGAGGAGCTTCACGAGCGCCGCACTCGTCGGAGAGCTGCGTGCCGTTTTCCATATTGCTGATACATTGACTTCCAGGGCACGGAATAAGCTAATAACAATTGATTATGGCCAATAACTATATTGTAATAAAGCCAATTTTGCCTTGTAGTGTTCGCACTCATCATATCTGATAGCACCTACCTATAGCAGGACGACGCATTCAGAACGCATGTTTCATACCCAGCCAACCGTAGTCAGAACAGTCGGTTCCTGCCTGTCGGGGGCCGGTCCCAATATTCGGCGACACCAGACACCAGACCTACCCCCGCCGCCACTGCCGACAGCCGCCGCTGCCCCCCCCCCTTCCCCCCCCCCCCCCCCCCAGCTGTCCGGGCCCAGCACGGCCCGCGGCCCTCGCCGCCGCCGCTGACCTGAGCACGGGCTTCATGAAGCGACGGATGTGCGCGTACGAGGCGCGGCCGACCAATTCCCGCAGACACGTCTCGGCCAGCTGGGGTGGCTGCTCGGACAGGCTCGGCGCCGTCTCGCCGGTCGGCCCCGCCGGCTGATGGTTGCTGCAGCAGCGGAGACGGGCGTCAGACGCTGCCGGTACAGGTGGCCACACTCGCTCCCAGACACGACCGGCGGAAGGAGGCGTCAGACGCCGCCGGCACAGGCGGCCACACTCGCTCCCAGACACGGCCAGCGGAGGCGGGCGTCAGACAGGTGGTCACACTCGTTCCCAGACGTGGCCAGCGGAGGCGGGCGTCAGACAGGTGGTCACACTCGCTCCCAGACGTGGCCGGCGGAGGCGGGCGTCAGACGCCGCCAGCACAGGCGGCCGCATTCGCTCCCAGACACGGCGAGCGGAGGTGGGCGTCAGACAGGTGGTCACACTCGCTCCCAGACGCGGCCGGCGGAGGGGGGCGTCAGACGCCGTCAGCACAGGCGGTCACACTCGCTCCGAGACACGACCAGCGGAGGCACTCGCTCCCAGACACGGCCGGTGGAGATGGGCGTCGGCCAGGACCATTAATAAGCAGGTTTGTTGCATTGCGGCCCGAGCCGCACCGTGGTCCGAGGGCCCGCAATACGGAATCACCAGTGGGCCACCGCAGTCCACAAACACAGGTGCATGCTCGATCTCCGGCGGCTCTCTCGCGACACACGAGCGAAGGAGAGATCTGATCTGATGTTTGGCACGCCGGCGAAAGAAGTTCTGCAATCCGATGATCCTGATTGAAAGGTACGGAATGTATGGGCGATTGAACTCGGCGATTTTATCAAGTGCGCAATGGACTGACTACAGGACGCTTGTCTTATCTGGCGGGGATGCAAGTACGACATCGGAACTTTCAAACAATGCGTGATATCAGGCATCTGTACGATCACATTACCACGATGATGTTCTAACCAATATCCGTCTTCCCTGCATAGAAGTCCTAGCCCCTTCGAAATGTTAGCAGGGCTATTGACGCTGAGCTATGCCGCCTCCGCTGTCACCCGCCGTGAACAGAGCCCAGTGGCAGACGCTGTTCCTCTGCCACCTAGCCTCGGCATTTCGCGCCACTCCCCGTCGTCTGGTCCGGCTCACGACACGAGCGCGCCACATTTGCGCCGTGGCCCGCTACCAGGACGGTCCCCCGGGCCGCATCCGGCGGCGGCTGATGGCACTCCGCCGCCGACGGTCAGTGAGCGCCGAGTGTCCTCAGCAGACGGCCGGCGGCTCGGGAGCAGCAGCCGAGCACGCAATCAGTCGGGGCCGGCGAGACAGCAGGGGTCACACGTCGCACCCAGTGGTGGCGAGGGGAGTGGGTGGGGACAGGGGGCCTGGGGAACTTCGAATCAGTCGGGGCCGGCGGGACAGCAGGGGTCACGCGTCGCGCCCAGTGGTGGCGAGGGAGAGTGGGTGGGGATGGGAAGCCTGGGGAACTTCGAATCAGTCGGGGCCGGCAAGACAGCAGGGGTCACACGTCGCGCCCAGTGGTGGCGAGGGAGAGTGGGTGGGGGCAGGGGGCCTGGACAGCTTCGAATCAGTCGGGGCCGGCGGGACAGCAGGGGTCACACATCGCGCCCAGTGGCGGTGAGGGAGAGAGGGAGAGAGGGAGAGAGGGGGGGGGGAGAGGGGAGTTCAGTCAGTCCAAGCGGTTGGCAGATCCCGACTGGTTGGGCGGTCGGTCCGCCTCCTCACACGCCACTGTGACCTGGCCTGGTGTCTGCTGGCTGCCCGACATTGGCCGACGGGGCGACCACGTCACATTCCAACTTTGTGTGGGTTTTCCTGCCAGCTGAGCCTGGCTCGGCATCCAAAATTGGTAGGCAATGTAAAACCAAATGTAATAAGTACAAGTAACCTGAGTGAACAAACCACAATGTGATTAAAGCACTCCTGAAATGACGAAAAACGAGATGCCTGCATTTAAGTCTAAATATGCATTTGTTCAGCCCTGATGGACTATTCAGTAGTGCATAGGAGTCGGATGGTCCCCCATTCAATCACTCAACAGCACGATAGCCATTGTTTTGGTAGTACGGGTAGGAAACTTACTTTTGGTCCATATTGAAGAGCAGGGATGGTATGATTTTTTCCATGTGTGCCTCGGTCCAGATGTTCTCCACCAGGTCATCACTGACCGTCTTCTTAATGACTCCCTAGAAAGCCAAATGGGCGGCTATTTAATTAGCGCATCGATCACCGGCACAGGGGATCGCTGATCCCTAGTGGCGGCGCTGCCAGCTCCGCTGTCCGCGGCGGCAGACAGCAGAGGTGGCAGCGGCGCCGCATAGTCAGCTCCACCGTCCACAGCAGCAGACAGCAGAAGCAGCAGCGGTGCAGCCAGCTCCGCCTTCCGCAGCAGCAGACAGCAGGGGCGGCAGCGGCGCCGCCAGCTCCACCGTCTACAGCAGCAGACAGCAGAGGCAGCAGCGGTGCAGCCAGCTCCGCCTTCCGCAGCAGCAGACAGCAATGGCGGCAGTGGCGCCGCCAGCTCCGCCGTCCGCAGCAGAAGACAGCGGAGGCGGCAGTGGCGCCGCCAGCTCCGCCGCCCCGAGCAGTGCCCCCGCCAGACAACACACGAGGTGTGTGACAAGTTTTGGGGATGGGAGCGATTCGGATTTAGGGTGCGCCCATCGTAGCGGCCATTTCGTGTCCGCAGAAGACGGAATGGAGCCCGCCTGAACAGGGTTGCCTGGTCCACAGTCAACTGAGCAAGGCGTACCTCGACTACCACTCGCAGCCAGATGGAGCGCGCCTGCCCACCCTGCGGGCTATAAGCGTGCCGAGCCGAGTCCTACAGTGCACTTGACCGGGCACGCCTCTTTCTCCGGGTACATCATCCATTCCCGCCGAATCAGCGATTGCCGTCGTTCCACCAGCAGCCGCCGTGTGGCCGGAGTGGGGAATCTTCAGCCCGTCGACCTAGGCCGAATCGCTCACCTGCAGCCCCTCCAGGCCGGCCATCCTCAGCTCCAGTCGCGTGGCCGGCGACGAGTGCGCAGAGTGACACATGGAAGCAAACTTCGACACGAAGAAGTCGTACCGGCGATGGTACGACGGCGTGTCCTCGGCGATGTTGGAGAACTTCACAAACTGCAGAAACAAAGGAGCCACAGTGATGACGTACGGCACGCGCTCGCAAGTTGCGAAATTTCGCGCCGTTGTATGTCATTGGAAGTTTGCCGTAGGGGACAGTTATGCTAAATGGCGTAGTTTCTGGACTTGGGACTGCGGCGCTTATCTCCCGCAGTTTTCAACTTTCGAGCATAACGTCCTGTGCATATTGAGTACCACTGACGTTGGCGAAGGGAAACAATGACAAGCAGAACGTTGTACAACAAACACTGCGTCCAGAACGCAGCCCTCCTAGCTTCAAACAAAGGGTGTCACCCAGGGAGCTTGTCACAAGCGTGCCCTGTAATGGATTCACGTGGCTCGAAATCCTCGCACATGACAACATGACATGTTCTCGAGTCGTACAACGCACACAACCAATATATGGTTTGTGCTACACTTTCAACATCGTCATGCTGGGCCAGCGGTTGCCAATACAGCAACACAAGTGCTGCAAATAGCACATCACCCCACGCAAGGAAGCGACCATGAGTTCAGTCACTCACTTTGAACGGCCTAGAGAATTCGTCGTATGCAGCAGGGGGACTCCGTGACACAGCCAACGACCGATGGAAGTCATACAGGCCCAGAGGTCTGAGTAGGCAGCTTGTCCCTGACTTCGGAGTTGGAAATAGCGTGTCCTTACCGACATAAGACATTATAACGTTTTGTGAGACTTACGACTAAAAGAGTTCCGCCACTAAGCCTACCAAACGTATGCCAAGGCCAAGCGGATACAGCTATAGAAGACAGCATTTAAACCTGCTTTTATACTGAGAAGTGAGTAGCCCAATGGGAGCACTCCGTGACAATGGCCATTTCATGTAGAAAATACGATCTACTGAGGACGACTTTAGAGACGACTGACTTCGCACCCAGACTGGGAACCGCCTAATCTGGTTACGTAAGTGTGCAGCTAAACACAGATCCAAAACAAGGAGCTGTCCCTTTAAACGGAAACTCGTGAAGAAGGCTAATCTGAGCATCTGCACAATCGATTAAGCATTCACAACAGGCTGTCGAGTTTACGAGACCGGTTATCACGGCCGCGACCGCAAACCGAGAGTGTCCCTTCACTGTACACAAATATAAACTTGAGCGGCCGGCCCTAGCCGGTTCGGCGTTGCCAGCATGCATTCCAAAGGCTGCCATCCTTGTGCCCACCGGGCGCAACCGCAAGACTTCTCAGCACACAGACGCGCAATAGTTCAAGCAGTACACAGTGCAAATTATTAGGGATTCAAATACAGGCCGCACGACCAGGCGGTTTTCCTAGAACATTTCCATATCACCACAATCTCATATCCCCTTTCACCTGACATAACGACATAACAACGTATAACTTTCAGCTGCGAGAAAGACGAGAAACACGCTCCGAAACTGGGCCCAAATCTGACCGGCCGTGTGCCGCAGTAACAGGGCGTTATCATCTTTTGACGGAGGGGAAACTCTGACATCCGTTATCATTACGCCCCTTCCACACCTCGCCAGGCGTCTTGCTGGTCCTGCTTGCTTAACGCCTCGCACGTCCTGCCTGCTGGACACATTCTTAGCTATGTTTTGCTGAGCGTGAGACACTCCATTGTGGACCAACAGCCTCCGCATCGGTCACGTAAGGCCGATGCCGCCGACCCGTGGCCGGACCCGCCTGGCAATCGATCCACAGAGGGCAGGCAATCACGAGACCAGGATTACAGCCTCGCCCCGCCGGCGGCTCATCACAGGGTCCGCCAGGCGGGTCTGGCCAGGAATGCTTCCCCACGCGGGTATGGCCGAGAGTGCTCCCCCAGGCGGGTCTGGCCAGGGGCGCTCCCCCAGGCGGGTCTGGCCAGGGGCGCTCCCGCAGGCGGGTCTGGCCGGGGGCGCTCCCGCAGGCGGGTATGGCCAGGGGCGCTCCCCCAGGCGGGTATGGCCAGGGGCGCTCCCCCAGGCGGGTCTGGCCAGGGGCGCTCCCACAGGCGGGTCTGGCCAGGGGCGCTCCCCCAGGCGGGTATGGCCAGGGGCGCTCCCCCAGGCGGGTATGGCCAGGGGCGCTCCCCCAGGCGGGTATGGCCAGGGGCGCTCCCCCAGGCGGGTATGGCCAGGGGCGCTCCCGCAGGCGGGTCTGGCCAGGGGCGCTCCCCCAGGCGGGTATGGCCAGGGGCGCTCCCCCAGGCGGGTATGGCCAGGGGCGCTACCGCAGGCGGGTCTGACCAGGGGCGCTCCCGCAGGCGGGTATGGCCAGGGGCGCTACCGCAGGCGGGTCTGACCAGGGGCGCAAGGCGGGTCTGGCTAGGGGCGCTCCGCCAGACGGGTCTGGCCAGAGGCGCTCTCCCAGGCGTGTCTGGCCAGGGGCGCTCCGCCAGGCGGCGGCAGGCGGCGCCGGCACCCGGCTTGTTGAAGGCTCGGCCGCCGCGAAGGCCGCCGACGCCGGCGCTAACACTCACCGACTGCGTGGCTAGCACCTGCATCTGCGGCTCCTCACACTCCAGCAGGCGCTGCACCGTCTTCAGAAAGCTTTCGACGAACAGGTTGAGCGTATTTGGCGGGCAGCTGGAGACCAGGGTATCCATCGCCTCCACTGAGACCAGCACACTCCTGCGAGCCCGACAGACAGCTTCTTCGGTTCTCCTATGACGGGTGCTGACTGAGCTAAGCGGCACATCCCCTAAGGAAAACCCCGGACATACCCCTGGCAGCGGACACTGTACGCAGCGACCACGCACTGTCAACAACGATCTCACTGTCAACAGCAGGCACACACTTTAAGCGGCGGACACACACTGTACGCAGCGGACACACACTGTACACAGCGACCACGCACTGTCAACAACGATCTCACTGTCAACAGCACGCACACACTTTAAGCGACTGACACACACTGTACGCAGCGGATACATAATGCAAGCGGCGGACACCCACTGCACGCAGCGGGCACACACTGCAAGCGGCGGACACACACTGTACGCAGCGGACACCCACTGCACGCAGCAGGTGCACACTGCAAGCAGCGGACACACGCTGTACGCAGCGGACACCCACTGCACGTAGCGGGCACACACTGCAAGCAGCGGACACACGCTGCACGCAGCGGACACCCACTGCAAGCAGCGGGCACACACTGCAAGCAGCGGACACGCGCTGCACGCAGCGGGCAAACACTGCAAGCAGCGGACACACACTGCAAGCAGCGGACATGGTTACCAGCAAAGGACAAACACTGCCAGCAGCGGACGCAACTATCAGCAGCCGACACGTATTATCATCAGCGGACATACACCGCGAGCGGCAGACGCACATCATCAACAGCGGACACAATTGACGAACACACCCCATCAGCTGTCGGCAGCGGACATACTCAGTGGTGAACCCACACTGTCAGCGGCGGACATGTTAGCAGAGGCGAGCACAACAAGGGCGTGATCCTATCTCATCATCGTTCGGGCACCCACGCACCACCGGCAAAATCTTCTAAAGCCTAAGGCAAAATCTTCTAAAATCTTCTTACGCCTGAAGCCACGACGCGCCATCAGTTCAATTTCGCCATTGTGAGATCCGTGGACGGATACATTCCAAAGGATTAAGTGGACGGAGTCACATTGTCAATCGACTTATCACTATAAGACACCGTGCGATTCATGCTAAACGTCCACTCAGAGTGTGACGACAGTGTCCCCTTCGTCCTCTGCACACGCGGCATTGCCGGTAGCTTACATCTGGAATGTCCTCCCCGGGTAAGCCTTCTCCGAAGCCGTCCAGTGACGATTTTGCGGTAAGACTAGGTAAACTAGCTACGGCATTGTCCGGTGTGTCACCGGAACTTCCCTTGGCCGTACCGGGTATGTCGCCAGGATTGCCCCTGACCTTACCGGGTACGTCGCTGGGATTGTCCTTGACCTTACCGGTTATGTCGCCGGGGTTGTCCCTGACCTTATCCACTGCGTCGCCGGGGCTACCCTTGACCTTACCCGGTACGTCACCAGGGTTGCCCTTCAACCTTACCCGGTACGTCGCCGATAGATGTCGCGGCTGACCCGAGTCTCCAGGTACTCGCCGATCCGGTCCAGCTTCTCCGGCGACAGGCGCACATAGTTTGTCAGCTTCGCCATGTTGGACTTGACTAAGCCATCCTGCCGGCACACCAGCTTCGTTACCCACTACTCCTCACACAGGGCATGGCGCCACCTTATGAGGAACGGGAGCATGCTAAGAACACTGGCGATTTTTTACAGAAACGCTTGGCTTGCGCGGGTGGCTTCGGCGTGAGACAGCATTCTACAGGGTATAAATATCCTGCTACGCGTTTGGATTGACCCACAGCTCATCTGGTTTGTGAGCTGAACACCAGTACGGTGGCCCTAGCGAGGCAGAGCCACCCCTTGCGGACAGTCGCGGCGTGCAGTGCTCCCCGCTTTGCCACAGTGGCTGATCCAGTGATAGCTCCGCGGCGCAGGGGACTTCTGAGTCCTCACCGCCAAGCCGAGCTTACTGAGGGGACCCATCTACTCGCGAACCTTGCCGCGTCCGATCATCACGTGACCGATCCGATAGCCTGCGTGCTATGAAATTAAGACCAGGCGGGTGTTGGCGGTGTGTGATGATGATGATGATGATTGGGGTTTTAGGGCGCGTCGACTTCTAGTGTCATTTTGCGCCCATAACAGCTAATGTTTACCGTGGTGTATAAATAGCTGTGAATCCTACGCTTCTCAAAAATGAAAACAGCTGTCCGGTGCCAAGCATGCGAGAATCGTCACCAATAAGGTCTGAAAAGGTAAGACCTGACGCATCTCGTCCGAAGTAAAGTGCCCGCTCTTCTCTGAACTGTGGGCAAGAGCTGTTGTTGTTTATTGGAGTTTAGGGGCGCGCCGACTGCGGTGGTCATTTGGCGCCCATAACGAGTTTTGTTTTACCTATCTAATGAGCCGCATAAATGGTCCCAAAGTTGATGTGTTTGACAAACAAGAAGATTTGTTGAAATTCCAGAAATGGTGAGTTATCTCCTAGCATATCACAGAGGGTAAGGGGCAAGTCATGCTGTCCAAAATAGCGTTGGCGTTCTTACGCGAGGCGCGGACAAGAAATAAGAATATGGCGAACGGTGAAGACAGCACCACATCGATGAATGATCGGTTTATCGGCTCCCTCCAACATATAGCCGTGGGTTGCGTATGTATGCCAGATGCGCAATCTGCAGAGGATCACCTCCTCTCGCCGCATTTTCCGGAAACAAGAGAACCACTGACCCAGCTTAAGTTTTATTTCTCTGAGCTTATTACTATCCATCCGATCCCAACAACGCTGCCAATTGCTGTGCAGGAAGGTTTTTATTGCAGGGTAAAAGTCTCTGGCAGGAATGGAAAGAGAGTGAACACATGGAGCCAGCGCTGCTCGCCTGGCAGCCGCGTCAGCCAACTCGTTGCCCGCGATGCCGACATGACTAGGAACCCAACATAGCATGATTTTCTTTCCGGCCTGATCCAGCTGAGTCAAACGTATTACAATGTCCTGTATAAGGGGACATGACGGATAAAAAGACTTCACACTCAGAACGCTGCTCAGAGAGTCCGCCAAAATGAGATGCAAGGGTTCGTTACCGACTTCAATGAAACATAGTGCCTTAATGATTGCTATGAGCTCTGATGTAAACACCGAAGCGTTTGGGGGCAGTGAAAACGACCGGGTGACGCCACCGTTCACAAACGCACAGCCTACACCATCAGAAGTTTTAGAGCCGTCCGTGTAAGTGTGCGTGTAACCCTCATATAACGCTATACGTTCAAACGCTCTGGACCTCATTATATCTGGCAGCGAGACACTTTTTTCATTTCGGTCAGAGAAGTGTCTGTGAAGGGTGAGATCAAATGCCAGGGAGGAGTGCACAGGTGACCTGATCGCTTCACTTTTCGAATGGGAATTTCGGTTTCCCGCAGTAAGGCTTGTATCCGGGAGCCAAAGGTTACTGCATGCGCCCGAGGTGCATGGCGAACAAACGGCACAGCAGGCCGCGGAAACACTGCGTGATATGCGGGATGACACGGAAACTGTCGCAGCTTAAGTGCATAACGCATGCCAAGCATTTTCCTCCTCGCTGACATCGGCGGCTCATGCGATTCTACCAAGAGGCTTTGGGTAGGAGATGTGCGGAACGCCCCTGTGATGACACGTAAAGCAGTGCGATGGATGGTGTCAATGATCCGTTTCGTGGACTCACACGCGCTGTCATAAATAAAACATGCATAGTCCAGCTTAGAGCGTATGATTGCCCGATACAGCAGCAAAAGTGTGCTCCGATACCCGCCATACGACGTGCGCGAAACACATTTTAACACGTTTAAAGATTTAAAACAGCGTTCATGTAGCGCTTTAAGATGTGCCTTATATGTAAGTCGGCAGTCAAAGTACACCCCAAAGTATCTAGCCACAGGCTCAGTTGGGATGCAATGCCCATACATATGGATAGACAGGTCACCGCATTGCCGGCTACGACAAAAATGCATGGCTACAGTCTTGCTACGTGAAAACCTGAACCGTTCATGGTACCCCACTTCTCAACGCGGTCAACAGCTAACTGGAGTTGGCGTTCCATCGATGGTGCTCTTGCTGCGCTAGTCCAAATGGTAAAATCATCAACAAAAAGCGCACGACCTACAAACTGCGGAAGCCCCATCCCGATGTCGTTGATCATAACGGCGAACAAAGCTACGCTGAGAACGCCGCCTTGGGGCACACCGTTAACTTGAACACGCCTCTCAGACAGCGCGTTTCCAACACGGACACGGAAAGAACGGTCAACTAGAAAGTTTTGAAGAAGGGTGCCCACATTGCCGCGTATATCATACCTGTGTAGCTTGAGAAGGATGCCTTGACGCCATGTGGTGTCATAGGCGCCCTCTATGTCAAAGAACACTGCGCCTATGTGTCGGCTTGCTTTAAATCCCATACGAATCGCAGTGTCAAGAACTAAAAGATTGTCAACTGTGCTGCGATTCTTTCTAAAACCACACCGGGCGTTTGTAAAAACTCCCCGATGTTCTAAAAACCAAGTTAAACGGACATTAACCATCTTTTCCATCAACTTATAGAGCGATGAAGTGAGAGAAATAGGTCTATAGTGTAAAGGATCCAGTCCACTTTTACCCGGTTTCAAAATAGGAATGACTGGCTTCTCGCCAAGAGGCTGGAAAGTCCCCACTGGCCCAAAGCGCATTAAATATCGCTAAAAGAGCATGAAGCACGCAAGGCGACAAATGCTTGAGCACGTCGTTGTGTACAGTGTCCGGACCTTCTGACACGCTACGAAGCTTGGCAATCGCCCATTCCAATTCGACCAGGGTGAATGGATCATTATAGGAGTGCGGCTCACTCGTTGAAAAATCCACTGCGGATTGCTAACATTGCGCTCGGTGCCGCACAAACTGTGCGTTCGTGTTGCCACCTTCGCTGCGGCAGGCCAGCGCCCGGGCAATCTCGTTCGCAACTTCCGACGGGCGCGTCACGGCCTGTCCGTTCACATATAGTACCGGAAGAGCCATGGGTGAAAACTGCCCAGATATACGCTTAATTCGAGACCAAACCTGCGATGTTGGCGTGAAGCGGTTCAGCGTACTCACGTAGGCATGCCAGGAAGCACGCTTCGCCTCCCTTACAGTGCGCCGAGCAAAAGCTCTCGCCTTCTTAAAGGCTATGAGGTCTTCTGTACTGCTCCTGACGTCAAAGGCCCGAAATGCACGTTTACGCGCTCGGATGGCGCTCCGACACTCCTCCGTCCACCACGGAACAGGAGTGCGTCGGAGAGCGCCAGACGTGCGTGGGATACAACCGTTGGCGCACTCTAAAAGTCTGCGGGTAAAATCCTCAATAGAGGGTACAGTCCTCACCGCCTCAGTTACGAACGATTCGTCGAGCCGAGTCTCAAATTCGCACCAGCCCGCTTTCTTAAAATTCCAGCGTTGTGGTCTAACACTTAACGCTCCACCTCTCTTAAACCGGACCCACACTGGGAAGTGGTCACTTCCCATGGGGTCATCTCCGACACTCCACTCGAGGTGTTGGACTAGCTGGGGACTGGAGAGGCTTAAGTCTAGCGCGGACGTCAGACCGGACGGCATTGTAAAATGCGTACGAGTTCCTGTGTTTAAAACACATAGTGAAGCACCGTCGATAAAATTCTCGCACAGCCTCCCACGAGCATTGGTGACGTCACACCCCCATGCGGTGTGATGTGCATTAAAATCGCCTAGAAGAAGTGGTGGAGGCAGTTCAGCCAGCAGACACCTAAGGTGCGCCAACGGAAAAGCGATACCTGGTGGAAGGTAAAGTGAGCAAACAGTGATGTGACGACGGTTGAAATAAAGCCGCACGGCCACAGCCTGAAGCGTGGACCACAAGCTTAGCCTCCTCGCTGGCACGCTATGGTGAACTGCAAGGAGGACGCCACCGTGAGCAATGCTCTCCGTCAATACGTCGTTGCGAAACATCGCATATCTTTTCAGAGAGCAGAAATTGTCAGGCGCTAGCTTGGTTTCCTGCAGCGCCACGGCTGCAGGAGAGACTCTGCTGACGACAGCCTCGAGATCGAGGGCGTTCGCCCTTACTCCTCTACAGTTCCACTGTAAAAACGCCTATAAAAGGGCGTATTAAAAAAGAGGTGTGATGTGAGAACCTAAAACAATTCCGGCTTGAAAGAACTCGGCTGCGCCAGTTGCATGTCCAGACGCCTCAGACTGAGAGCTTCGGCTTAACCCCGGGGGGCCGTGCCCCACCCTAGGACGAATCCTTGGGGTACCTCCGTCAGATGGAGAAAGGCTGGGGCACGCTTTACGCCAGCGTACCCAGCCCGGGGTGGGGGCGGGGGAGGGCCCATCGGTAGGCCTCTACCGGGGTTCGAGGCACCAGCGGGGGCCTCCACCGGCTTCCGTGGCGATGGAGTGCTGTTTCGGGGGACGGGCTCTTTGTCTGCCCCGGACAGGCGGCTTGCCGCCTTAGCGCGCTCCAGTTCGGCCAAGCGTGCTCGCTTGGCCTCGCGGGCGCGCCTGTCAGCTTCCTGACGTTCCAGCGTCTCTGCCACACGCTCACAGGCACTGGCAAGAGGTGTCTGTGGCAAAGGGACCGATTGGGTCGCAGACGA